AACATTTGCCAAGAGTGGCTGCCTAGGGCACATGAGAACAGGACAGTTGTGGAGGGATTTTTTTCCAGCCTGCAACAATTTACAGCTCACCAATTTCTTGAGATATTGTCATTGGATTTAATACCCCTTGTATGTTGTCATTCTTCTTTTTTTTTTTTTTTTTAAATTCTACACTGGGTGAGAAATACAACCAATATGCGCCACTCCTCTTTTCTGCTCTTAGTCTCTGATCAGGCTATATGCTCTTTTGGTGGAAAGGTGACTTTTTTTCATAAATACTTAGCAGTGAAAATGATTCTCTTTACACAGCTAGGTGGCCAAGTTGCAGGTGAAACAGCTACTATAACTCTGCTGGGATTTCTTACTATCATTAATGATTTGCTAGGGCACTTAAAGCCTGCAATACTATCCCTTAAAAGGATTTAAAATCTAAACGCTTTGAAAAAAACTGCATGGCTTATGTCCCTCTTTTCTGACACTACAGCCGTAATTCTTTTGACACTGTGAAGTCTATCCCTGTTGGTAATTATTAATGACACCATCATCAAGGAAAACTAGAAGCCCAAAATGGGCACTTTCACAACTGTCGAGTGAAATCAAGGAGTATTCAGCTGTTGTTGAAATATCTTCTACATGAGACTGTTTGCTCTTTTGCTTTTTTTGTTTTCATCTTTCTTCATCCATGGAAGTGAATTAATGACAGCAATTACCAGCTGGACCAAATCTATGCAGGCTAACAGAAGCTTTGTTCCAGGTGGACTCCGCCATGTAGTGAGGGACAGCTGATAAGGCCTTTTTCCCTTTCAAAGTGCATCCGATGGCAGTATCAAGGTTATGGCGGTGTGGGGAGAAAGAAGGAAAACTGTTTCATCGTTGCAAGTCAGATGTCTGTTGAAAAAATAACTGATAATGGCTGCAACTCGCAAATGGCACAGAACCAAATCTATCTTTTTTTTGTCTATTTGTTACTATCTTACAATCTTTCAGCTGCTTTACTGAGATCATTTGTATGAAGGTGATTTTTTTGCATATGGTTTTACAGAACGGGCAAACACACAGTGATGCTTATTCTGGTACCCCTGTCACAGTGCTGTCTAATCACCAGCCACTCAAAGCTAGGCTACTCTGGAAAATACATCAGCTGAGGCATGATTTTAAACCGAAATAGCTATGCCAATATAATGCCCCATACAGACTCACTTATTTCCATATAAATGTGCCTTTTTTGTCTTAAGTTGTGTCACCTTGGATACTCTTATCCCTGAATGAAAGCAACTTTATGTCGATAGAATTAAGTTACTATAACAGAATTAACAGTAGTGGTGCAAAAGGCAAAACTTCTTAAGCAGACAAGCTGTCACCTGCATCTGAGCCCGTATCTCCCAACTTTGATGGAGAGGCTGCGGTCTACCTCGCTGGTGAATCTGCCACAGCCCTGGCACTTCAGATGCTCCTAGTTTTAGACCCAGAGGTCCCTAATCCAGTTCCCACTGCGTCATGTTTAAATTACAAGTTCGTTGGCACGCACCCTCAATGAACCGGCGTGTGCTCTTCTCGCTCCATTGTCATTTACACTGAAGGACGATATCAAAGAGGAGGAAAGAGAAAGGCAGCAAAATAGACCCAGAGAGCTTTCTCGATAAACAGTTTGTGGAAAATTATAAATCGTAGCGAATGCAAGCTATTTCTTATGAAGCCTTCCTAGAAGGTGTGTGACACAATGGGGGAAATCCTGCGCTTAGGAGAGTTAATGGGAAACATTTCAGCAACTGCAACAGGGTAGGATTTTTCCGATTGCCTAGCATCATGTTCCTGTCCTTTCTCCCTCTGCCTCCTCTCCAGCACACGTACAGTAGACAAAGAGCGGCACCGCTGTTATTTCAGCTGTCATTTCAAAGGAAGACGACTGACTTAATTCCCTATCACCAGGTCAGTTAATTGGTTGGAGGTCATAAAGGATAACGATTTTTTTGTTCAATTTAATTAGACATAGACTAGAATAAAATCATTTGAATTTTCTCATAACATGATTTATCGCTTGGATAAAGGATAAAAGCTTATTTCAATGGCAAATCATGGCTTGAGTCACATCTGGAAGAAAAAAAAAAACTGCTACCTAAAGTCACTGAAATAAAACTTCATTGTGGTGTAGTCAAATGCAAAACTCGTTCTGATTGCTACAAGAACTGTGAGCAATATTAAGTGTGTTTTAGCTATGTTGATTTTTGGAAAAAAAGGTTAAGCTCCTAGTTAGAGATTGTAAAAAAGGGCCTGGGAAAATTGAAAAACAGATGACGTTAATTGATTGTGGCTCACGATGAAAGCTATCTTTAGGATCTACCATTTCGTTAGGATACTGCCTGTAACAACCTTACAGTGACTGTAACCACCGTATAGCAAAACCATAAGTTCCATCCCTTTAAAAATCACTTCCTATGGAGCAAAAATCTCTGTTCTGTTCACAGAAATGGAGCAGATCGAGAACTTGCCCATGCTGGGGCAGAACGGTGCCAATCTAATCAGCAGCTTGCCTTTTTTTTTTTTTTTTAAATGACCACATGCAAACCACCTGAAGTTTGTCATCTAGTATCTTGGAGGAAGAAAGAATTTTTATAGCATATCACTGACAAAAAAATGTGCTGCTCATCTGACTTGTCACGTGGATATGTGTGTGATGACTAGCGGGTCTAAATGGAACAAGAAGATGGAGCCGAAAGCCACTGAAAAGGAAAGTTTTTTTTTTACTTCCTCTTCAGTAAGTTTACAAAACCAGTAATTGCTGGCTGGGGCCCAAATACTACATGACCAGTCAAGAGGTGCAATGATTCTGCACTTTGCAAACATAGCTTTTTCCCAGGAGCTCATCTGCAGCAACCTCACTGTGTTAATTAGTCCACAGCTGGTGGAGCT